CAGAAAATTCGCACTATCGATTTGAATGGAAAAACCATCAAACTACAAATTGTAAGTATTTCACTCTATTGAATTCATAACCAATTCACCGAAAATTCGTGCAGTGGAATCTCAATATATATTGGTATGAATAATATTTCATCTCAGTGTCTGATCCCAACAAAACGCCTTCCTCAAAATTTTGTTTGAGTTGGTTAATCTCTCCTGATGAAAATATGAGTTCCAATAACTAAACCTAGAAAGCTCATAAATATATGGCACAGATTATTTACAGTGGGATACAGCAGGACAAGAACGATTCCGTACAATTACCTCCAGTTATTATAGAGGCGCTCACGGTATCATCGTTGTATATGACATTACCGATCAGGTTACTTTATTCAATGTTTATTTTAAAGTTCTTTTAGATTCAGAAAATAACTCAGCACAAATGATCGGTTGTTTAAATTTATCTTTTTCTAAATTAAACGTCCACTTTCATCCCTACTGCTATCGTTGGAAGCGAAGACCTGTGATAAAGACGTTTTAATGAGATGATCTGTGAATGAGCTTTTCATACACATTTATTACAGGAGTCATTCAATAATGTCAAACAGTGGTTACAAGAGATTGATCGGTATGCATGCGAGAATGTCAATAAATTGCTTGTTGGGAATAAGTGTGATTTAATAATCAGAAGGGCGGTCGAGCATAGCGCTGCTAAGGTTTCTCGTTTTCTTTTGACATTTCACGAAAAATACTGTTGAAGAAACTGACTAGCTAAAAAAAAGCTAAAAAAAATGAATCGTTATACCTCAGATACAGCATATTCGACATTCAGGTGCTAATATAAGTTTTATATATATATACAGTAATTTATTCTAGTTCAAATTTATTTCAAGGTGGTAGGTTTTTTGACTTTTGTCTATTTTCGACTATTCATTTGTAATTATTGCTGATAACAACTGTTTGTTTGTAGCACTAGAATTCTATGTTGGCATATATTTAATATTCAAGTTTCTTATTGTTTTAGAGCACTTTTCCCCTTTTGAACAAGGTGCATAAGTTATTGCTTAATACACTTATTCTTAGCATTTGGAAAAATTCCAGGTTGCTTCGATCATCATTGAAAGGGGTACATGTAAAATATTTCGAAATTAAAAGCTTTACTCTCTTGTAGAGAGCGTTAAATATTTTCACAAAATCTTGAATTTTGACTACAAAACATGTACGTTTTTGAAATTCTAAAAACTACTTATTTTCTTTGACTAGCTCATTAGATCAAATTGCTACGTTAGCATTATGCAATGTTTGAAAAAATTCAATATATTTCAACTGCTGATATGCTATAGTCTTTCAACAGTTGATGTTTACTGCATGAAATTCTAACTGTTGATGAAAAGTCCAATTGTCCGATATGTACAGACATGCCTAAAATAAGATCGATGAAAACTTTTTTGTGTTTATTTTAATACCCCAATTTCCTAAGACTCGTTTGTGACGAAAATATATTAAAGTCAGTTTTAAAAGTTTTTTTTGGACTGTTTGTGAATGGAAAAGAAATATTACTCTTAAAAACATTGAATAAGATATTTTATTTATTAATAATATAAATAAGATGACTGTTTTACAGAGCTATAAAAAATGCGCAAAAATAACGTTTCCTTTAATTAAAATCGCAATTTATCCGAATTGGGAATTATCGAGCTGCATTTTTTCTGTTGCTTACTGCATTCCAAGCTTTTCTGTAACTATTCCAACTCAGAAGGCTTTCTGCCTTTTTAACTCAAAAGGCTTTAGGTTCTGCTTATTGAAAAATATATGAAGTATAATCAATTGTATTATTAATTGTGTAAAATTAGTAATAATTGTATCAAAAGCGCTTGTGAGCCTAGAAAGGTTGATTAGCAGGCATTGGTGAGGTAGAGTTTAAAAGAAGTGCAGACGAAAGCAAAAAAAATGGAGGAGTGGAAACGTATCTTATGCTGTGTGAGATTTGCAAAACTAATTATGATTTTTTATATGCATTTTTCAAAAGTAATGACTGTGTATTTTCATATAATTGATTTGACTTCAATAAATGAAGTCGAGATTTGATTTTATTGTAGGAATATGCTGATCAATTGGGAATTCCGTTTTTGGAAACATCCGCTAAATCATCAACTAATGTTGAACAGGTAGGCTAATTTCTTTTCATCGTATTTACTACATACTGATTACGCTGAGTATTCAATTATTTGAAATAAATAGAGTGATCTATAAGAAGTCAGTTAATAATGTCGATAATACTTGTCAAAACTGATTGACAGTTTAGTTTTTTTTTTTTTTTTTTGTTTTGGGATCAAGCGTTTAGAGTGATATTTTTCCAGTTGTACAACTTTTGACTTTTGAAATGAGTTGAAACCATGCATCATTAATACCTGATTTTGAATTTTCGGTATGTAGATTTTCTACTAATGTAGATAGGAACATTTGAAAACTCTAAACTACTGTTAGAAATTTCTCCTTAATTTTTGGATAAAAAGACCGTTACTTTTCAATTTTTCTTTTCACAGTTTTGTTACTCGTGCTGTATTCTCACATCAATTGTTATTACAAATAATACTATCAGTCAATTTTAGGCCTTTTTAACAATGGCATCTGAAATAAAGAACCGAATGGGTCCAATCCAACAAGTTGGTACAGGCCCATCAGTGCGCATAGGGGGATCTCAACCTGTGAATGAAAAGAAGAGTGGTGGCTGTTGCTGAAAGTTGAAATACATTTCTTCTTTCAGCGATGACTATTATCTATTCCATATATCTTTTAAACAATCAAAAGATACATTTTTCAACTTTTCGTCCAGAATATTATTTTTATTTTCCTTTTTCTTCGAGCTACTTTTCAGTTTCTACTGTTTTCGTTAAAAAGACATTTCTTCTTACATTAATTCAGCTGTGATGTGAGTTTTTGTATTTGTTTTTACTTTTCTTCCTGATTGGATTGCTTTTTTTCGGAATTTTCCTTAGTTTTTCCTGTTGTCGAGACTCGATACTGTCAGCTAATTAAATGTTTATTTAACTTCTATTATTAGAGATAAAAAAAAACTCATGAGATGGCTGTTTTGGAGGTGAGTTTATCTTGTCATATTTTAATTCCGAAAACACTGGGGGGACGGTTGTTGGAGTGGCTAGTAGCTGGTTTTTAACTGCTTATAAGTTCTACTGTCTTCCTAATCAAATTCAATAGTCTTTTAAAGCTTTCTGGAGAGTTTTTACATTGTGATTTGGTGAGAATTATGACGTTTTTCAAGTCACATATCACATATTTTATCGTTTAGAAATGCTGTATTCAGTAGACGGTTCATTAAGAACTCTTTCAATCCCTTTTTTCTGTCTTACCATCTTTTTCCATTCTTATAATGCGAAAACGAATTTTTAATTATTGTTTACTTTTAAGCATGTTACTGATCCATGATTATAAAAACCAGTTACAGTTCTTGCGAAAAGTATTTACATGTCAATTTCTTTCCTACTTTGTGGTCACTAAAAAACAATGTTATCATTGTGGCATGAATGCATTAAAATTATCGTTATTTCATCACATAGTTTCGCAATATCATCGCTTTCATAAAGAATGGTTTATTTGAAATTTGTTTTTATGGAGTTTTGTTTTCCCAACTTATAAATTCATATTAAAATTTCTGTCTAGCTGAAGTAAATTTTTTTATATAATTGTACGCATGTTTTCCAAATGCTAACCGCCATTGATTGTATGCTGAAGTCTCATAAGTTTAATCAGTAGTACTATTAAAAGCTCTTGTGCATAATCCTTTGCTGATTTTTGCAGAAAGTTTATGGTGTTGCATTCAGTGTTTCTTTACAACCGATAAGTTCTTTTTTCCCTGATATACTGAGTAATTACGAGAAATTCTTGACATATACGAACTCAAATGCATCATATCAGTTCAATAGTAATAGTAACATTGTTAAGTATATACCACTATGTTAGTTTTTGAAAAAATAATTCCATTAAATGGATTATAGTATATTATATACCAGCATTTTTGGTCTGTTATTTTGTTTAGTCTTATTTTAATAACTGAAAGTTCACTTTTAGTTTAGTGGAGGGTTCGGTCATGCTTACGACTGGTTGGAAGTTTTTAGACGCAACAGGATTTATAAAAAATTAAATTACTAATCTACAAAGCTGCAACGATGGCTCCAATTCCAGTTGCCTCATTTCTCTTGAGGGCGGATTTCACCAGTCCCAAATTCCAGGTTTTTGGAATGTCCATTTTTGTTGTGATTAGAAAAGATCTACAAATTTAACAGATGCAACCAACCAAATACAAGAAATACGATACATCTTCAGTTGAATAGCATAAAAAAGAATTTCCGAAGTTTTTCTTAGTAATCCTGAGATATTAAAGAATGCCGAAAAAAACAGCTTTTAAATTGGTAAAATGGTGAAGTGAAAGGATGAAAAGGATGTCAGTAATAGTGTGATACTGGAAAGGGGTTGGAAAATATGGGAAAATGTCACTGATAAAGACTTTGGATTTAGATATATCAAGGAAAAAAGTGAATAGTAGTGCGGGAATTTACTTGAAAACAGGAAATTGACGATTTTTTCTTTTCATTTACTTTTTCCTTTCACTATCTTAATATTCAAAGTAGAAAGAAGGCGGAAGGGCGAAGCGGAAACTAGATAAAGTGCGGGTCGTGATAGTTGAGATGGTATTCATTAATTTTTTTTGGATTTCGGAATGTTTGGTAAAGTCTTATTTTTAAGAATATAATATAAGCGATGATCCAAATTTATTCTTCGCAAAATCCGTGGTGATATGATTTACACTTCGTACTACCATAAATGTCATAATAATAGCAAGGGTTGGCTGTTATGATATGTATTGCAAATTATTTCTAACAGATATTCATTCTTTTCGAGAAAGTAAATCTTTCCAAATTTATTATTATTATTATTATTCTATCAATCAAGGAAAAAAATAATTTGTCATTGAACGGTGCGTATAGATGACGATGTCATCAGCACAGTGCTTTTGGTTTATTTTTCTATTGCAAGCAATCGAGTATTCCAAACCGTGTGCCGATATAATTTTTGTTCTGGATGGTTCTGGAAGTGTCAAACAACAATTCAAGGTTTTGTAAATTCTTTGGATAACAATTTTAACAATTTGATTGGAATTCCAAGTTTAAAAAACAAGAATATGTAAAAATTAGGTAATATGTTTTACAAACATGGATAAAAACGGATTAATATGGTATTCTTCTGCTTTAAAGTTTTTAGAAAGAAATATTAAAATACATAAGTGATCTCTTCTTTCTCAATAACAGCTAACACCTTTTCTACTGTTAGTAGTTTAATAGTTTCATAAAAAAATGAATTAACTAATAGTTTCATAAAAATGAATTATAGTTTCATAAAAAAAAAAAAAAAATAGTTTCATAAAAAAATGAATTAAAAAACTTATAACTGAAAAACTGATATGGAGATTTTTTGGAAAATTGTTCAGCAAATGACTAATATGGCCAGTGATATAGCAAAACAGTTTGATATCGATAAAAAAGAACATCGGATAGCGATTTTGGAATTTAGTAGCAAAACAATCCTCTCCAAATGGTTACGATATCCTTTCGACCGAATTAAGGTAATAGGTCGGAAAATGTGTTTTTATAAAGACCACTTTTTCCTCAAAATGGAACCTTTATCTGACAGTTTCAGCTAAATTTCACTTTTTTAATTGTTCTTATTTTAAAACTGCAGACAAACAATGATATGGAAAAAGTGATCCAGAACTTACCTCACATTCATGGAACAACAGATACGGGGCGAGCTCTCGGTATCGTACTTCAAGAGTTTTTCCCTCAACACCGACCTGGCTTGTTACTACTAGTATTTATAATCACTGATGGCTACTACAGGTGATATCATTAATCACTGGCACTATAACATTAAATACAAGAATTTGAATAATATATATGTTTGAGACTCTATGAAGTCATAATACAAGAACTATCGTTAAGTAATAAGTAGAAGAAACCGAAGAAAAAAAATGCAGACTTATACTAGCTTGCATGATCAGTTCTATGAAATTTTAATGCCTGTATTTTAACCTGACTAAATCAAGCTTTCTGCTTTAAGCAATTAAATGAGTCTGCTTTCAATTTTTTGCAAAATTTACTATCTATCCATTTCATTGCATCCAGTAAAATGAGATCGCTAAATACATCCAAATAAATCACAAAATGAAATAAATTACCAGCCTTTTCAATAAAAAAAATTAGATTTATGGGGATGAAAACATTCAAGGAAATTGCCGTTTAATTAATTTTTTTTTTTTTGAAAACTTTTATTTTAATTAAGAGCAATTGAGTCATTTTTTTCTATTCTACTTATTCTTTCTTCAGTCACTGAATGATTTCTTAATTAATATCTTACTGTGATCGATGAAGGAATCAATGCATGGGGCAGAAAAGATGTACAAAAATTAATAATAATAAATAGCCGGAATTCTTAAATTCTAGGGCTTGTTTTGTGAAAAGTTTTCTAGCAGAGGTATTTTTTTTACTTTTTAAGAAGCTAAGTTTTAGTTTTCATGCATTTCTTAAAATGTGCATTATTAAAATAATGTAAGGTAGACGAGAATTAAACAAAAATAAAACAAAACATATTTATGTTTGCAGAGATTCTGAAGAAGTGAAGCAAAACGTTGCAAATCTCGTTGCTAAACCAAATGTTCAACTGTTTGTTGCAACTGCTTCAAGGCTGCATAACATGTAGATTACCTATACTTTATTTTCAATGTCTTCAATTTACAGTTTGCAATTCTAGCCGACAGATGTTTTAAAATAGGAAGATTTAAAGTCATATCAATAAATATAATCTTAATAATGAAAAGAAAGTGTCAGTTATATGAAACTATCTTTAATTCAATTTTTAATAATAATTTCAGACAAGGCTTATTACTTCTTGTTAACAATGACACATCACATATTATAATAAATACAAATTTCCTAAATAACTCCCGGAATATTCTGAGACCGTATAGTGAGTGCTTTGGTTTGAAAAGTTCCTTCATTAAAAAAAACGTAACTTCATTAGCGACAGCTATCACCAAACATCGAATAAATGGGTAAGTTGCAACTTGCAAATCAATATCATATATTTATTTAGTCGCTGCTATCAGTAATAAGACAATTCGTTTCCTCCCTAAAGTTACTCCTTTCCTCTTCGACAGCATGCATTATTCTTTCTTTGCAGGCAAAGAAATGTTCCCAAAACTAAAAAACATTTTCAAGATTTGAGACCGAAAGGTGATACCCTTTCTGAATTTGCTTTTCGACCAATTCATTTCGTTAGTGCATCTTCTGTCAGAACTGCTAATGTTTCTTCTTCAGCAGTAATGTCTACTACATCAACTAAAGATGTAGTCAATATCAAACCAGGTTTTTCCAGAATTATTTCTATTGAAACTAATTCAATTTCCCAATCTTTCACTTCCATTGATTTGATCCACTAGGAAGTAGTTTACAAATGATGAGAAACATGACTATTTTTCTCTATAAAGCAACGGCAGTAAACATTACTTAATAAATTTCATGCAAAATAAACATTGCTGTGGAAAACATTACATACAGGATGTTTATTTGACGTTGTATTTTTGATGGATTTTTCTGGCGGAGTGTCAGATAAGCGCGATATTTACATTGATTATGTATCAATTCTCATCAGATCCTTAGACCTTAACCGAACAGCTGTACATGTTCGTTTTTCATTAAAATTAGCCAAAGTTTTAACCCAACCATTTAATGCTTGATAAACTTGAGAATCTGAACAAAATTTTGGCTTGCACTCCATAGTAAATAATACTTCAATATTTTGAAAAGTTTTATGATTAGACATTTGAGGGACAAACTTGCTATGACCGAAAGCTGAGAAAGTACTGAGAAACAAGAACCTAATCGTTTTTAAGGTGGCAGCAATATATTATTCCGGTCCCAAACGAGCACGTACTCTTTTTCATTTACGTAAACATAGCAGGGCAGAAAATGCCATCAAAGATTTGCAACGAGCACCATCAAATGGTGGTACAACACGTACTGGTGAAGCTATTTATTACGCAACCAATGAATTTAATGAGAAATTTGGTGCAAGGAAAGATGCTAGGAAAATGATAATTATTTTCACAGATGGACATTCACAGGTGTTGATACGACTTTACTTTCTATCTTGGTTTCTTACTCTCCATCTTCTCTAGTTTGCTATATCCTATGAAACTAAAGCACATTTCTTGACTTAGTCACTTTAATATACTATCACCGATTACCATTAACTAGTTTCTTCATTGCTTCCAGTTCTTTTTTTAAATCCTGTTGCTCTCAATTGCATAATTTTTAATGAATAATTTATGCGCATTTTCTAGGATAATCCAACTGAAGCAAGTCGAACAGCCCGTAATAAAGGCATAGAGCTGAAAGCAGTATCTATAGAGGATGAGAATATACCGCCTGACACGAACCAAATTATTGCCATCACTGGAGATCCATCAGTATGCAATTATTTTTAAGTTTTCCAAAAACGTTTACTCTTCCCTATCCACTATGTAATATATTTGGTTTAACTTAACAGATATAGTGAAATGATTCCAAAATTGCATTTGTTATTTAAACATCTGAATTCTTCATTTTTCAGGACGCTTATTCCTCCAAAAACTTCAACAAACTTCAATCTTTTTTTGACGAGTATTCTCGACGATGTAAATTGTAGATAACACCACATATCTGTAAAATTTTCATGTAAATTGCATAATATTTGATAGATCTGATGTAAAATCAAATAAAATCAGAAACGTATGCAACTGGCGTATAGATCCTAAAAATAACAATATCACTGTTATTAATCAAGATGAAGCTATAATACATTTATAATTAGAAAATAGTACAAAATGAAACTGAGGAGTAATCAGCTTTTTCCCACAGTCAGGGGCTTTGCAGTGATTGAAATGTAGCAGATGTGATATAATATACTATAACATGAAATAAAATAATTAATATAATAACAATAAAATAATAATACGATAATATTATTATAATATAATATAAGAATATTATGTTATATTATAATATAATATAATATTAATGTAATAATATATAAAATAATGATATAATATAATATGGTGTAATAATACTATAATATATAATATAATAGTAGTAGTAATATTAATATTAATACGGTGTAATATATATAATATAATAATACAACGTAATATAATATATTAATATAAAGTATACACTATGTGATATATATTATATAATATACATGATATAATCTAATAATATAATGTAGTGTAATAGTAAACATAATAATATAGTATTATATATAAACTATTATTTATTACATAATAGTATTATATTAGAAATTATATAATATAGTATTATATATATTATGTATTATGTGTTATATATTATATTATTGTGTATTATATTACGTTGTACATTATTGTGTTATAAATTTAATATCATTATAATTTATATAATATAATATTATATGTTGTTATATATTATCTTATATTATTATATTACAGTTAAATATCATATATTATATTATGTATTATACTAACATTGTATTATGTACTGTACTAAGATGTATTATACTATGTTACTTATTATTATCATTACCATTATTATATTATTATTATATTAATATATTATATACTTCATTATATATTAATATTATATTAATAATTATATTATTATATTATACCAAATTATTATATTAGATTATTACTATATTATATTATATTAATATCATTGTTATATTAATATTATATTGTTACTACATATTACTATATTATATACTAAAATATAATATATAACTTATACAAATTTATTCAGAATTATTAATAAACTGTTAAGCTATTGAATGCTCATTTGAGTGCATGACTAGTTCAGATAAAAAATATTATTATGGAAGGAACAGTGTTTTCATATGTACCGACATGAAAATACCAATAAATCATTGATGCTCAAAGAAAAGCAACTTCATATCCAAGCTAAAAGTCATTTTAAAGTCTTCAATTAGGAATCAAAATGGATTTCGCGAACAATCATTTGTTTAAGTAGTTCAATTCAAAGTTTTCATTCATCTCATTTCTCATTTATTTAAACTTGTTTTGACTTCATGCCAACCGGTAATAAGACATATTTTTACGAATTATATACTAATGTAAGGTTGGTTTGACGACGATCCCACTCGTTTTAACAAAAACATTTCATTGAAGCGACAATAAAATAAACAAACAAACCACGCAGAAATATTGTCAAGAGTTTAATTTGGTTAGAAAATGGGAAAAAATTTTTATGTAAAATATTAGTTCTTTCCATTACAATTAAAAAAATGATTGTATTCTGGGGAAAAGAATGAAGAAAATGGGACTGATTAGAAGAAAAGAAGCTCTGAGTTTTTTGAAAAGCTCGAATATAAAGATATTAACAATAACGATGAGGTAACACAGTTTCTGGAAACTTGCATAGAAAAAGGTGAATAGATGACTTGATACATATATCATAAATTTATTACATCAAATTCTCCACAAATTAATAAAGTACTGAGAAAATAATACTCCTCATTCAACTAGAAGAATCATTTCAGAAGTAAAATTGTAAAAATTTGTACTGAACATGGCAAATTCTAGTCTTTTTTTTAAAAAAAAAGAATCAGGAACCTTTCAAGAAAAACTATTAAACAGAAAATTATGGTACTTTTTTATCTTATTATAAACATATCTCTTTTTTCTTGTACTTTTCTCAACCATATTTGAAACAATTGTATTCGGATTCGCACTGTCATGAGGTGATCTAATAGAAAAAGTGCTAATAGCCGATTTTAGCGAGTAAACAATATCAATTAAACCTGAGATACTGTTACAATAAATCTGAACCCGAAGTATGCTATTGAAGAATATTTCAACAAAAACTTGATGCAGACAGTACTTTATATTCGGAATACGGAGGCATGTAGGAGGGTAAACAATAACAAAAAGTTTGGATGGAAGCAGTCAGCTAGTATCTCATGGACACTTCAGTCTAATTTATGAACAGTGAAAAGTAGCAGCTGTGCAAAAGTAAAAAATATCTTGTCTAAATCAAAATCATTGCTATATTATAGAAAACAAATATTCGTAAAAAGCAAAAACATGATATAAATAAAAATGATTGTCGCTGTCAGGTGGATTAACTGGTTACACAGACTAGACTTACTTTAAACGGATATTACAAATCTTACTAGGTAATACAAGAATTTGTGATATATATATATCGATATCGCTCTATAAACTTCGATCCAAATTCAAAAAAGAACATGAACATGATGAATTAGTCTCTGAAAATCTAAACAGATAGCATATTTGTGTCATCGAATTTGTCATCGACCAACGAACATCTTTGGATTAAAGTCATATTGTATTTGGCAGATGCTATTATGCTGGTTAAAACAAATTGAGGAAAACCAGATCCTTCCGTTGACTGCTTCTTCCACAGGGTGCTCCTACTACTAATAGTGTAACTTTTCTCCCTTATATGGTATATATGTTAATTAATAAGTTCTGACGTCCATCACAGATGTAGTTAGTAAATGTTAATAATACCTTATTTAGAAGTAGAAAAGTAATTTCAAACAGGCATCCCCGAAAATTCCCATTGCTTGGATTGCGGAATTGATTTATATTGCCAATGAAGACTATGTGCTATAAAATCTTGCTTTTGTCGTATAATTTTTAGATTTTTCATAATTCTAATTTGAATTAAACTAAGAAAAGAAACTAAGAATTTTTTGAACAAAGAAAGGAAATTATGTGTACAATGAATATTTCATTTTTAATTCTCTCTGAAAGAGATCTTATTAGTGACAACAGATTCAAAAACATCTAAGATTTTTGTTTCTCGCTATGCGGCAGAATTTTATTTTTACTTTTTTTTTCGTTCGAAATTTGAGTTAGAAAATTTTGCCTTGACTATTGTATGATCATTTTTTTTCAACATAATCGATTACATCGTTCTTTTGGACATTGAAATGTATTTCGAGATTACCAGAATTTCCATGAAGTATACCACTTTCATTCTCCTCTTACAAGATCTTTTCTAGAGAATATTAATCTACACCTATAATAAAATGTTCAGGGTTATCCGACCCTGTTTTCATTCTGAAAAACTTTGAGAAATTGAAGGGAATTACACTTTTACAAGACTATTTAAACAATCAAAGAGGCAAAATGACCAGTAGCAAAATAAGAAACGAAACGAAAGCCATCAGTTACAGAGCTAACAAATGAGAACTCAGAAAATTTGCAAATCAATGAGTTATGGCTGGGTTTTGAAAATTGTTCAAAAACTGCAGTGCTTGTGCTTGTGGGAATTGATTGAGAACGCTGGCAGCAGTAAGAGACTGATTGAGAGCTTGATGAGCTGCTAGACCCAATGAACCAGACATCAGGGTATTCTGGGTGAACTGATGATGCTCGGGTATCAAAGATGTTTGCACAAATAGATCCTGACCAAGTCTTCCTCCACTTCCTGATTTTCCAATAACAGGACCAAATGGGTGCGGTTCTGAAGCAACAATAGTTGTTGTAGTTGAAACAGCAGGAAAATTATTGGTTACTTGCATAGTTGGTCTCTCGACAGTGGCTTTCAGTGGATCAGTATTTAATAAGATTTGTTGTTGCTCTTTCTGATGATGATGGACAAATGACATTGAATCCGTCATTGGCGAATTTTTTGTTGACATTGTTTTCTCGAGAATGTTGTTGACATTAGTTATTTTAGTGCTATTATCATGATGTTGCAAATTGAGCTGTGATTGTGTCGCTTCCGCCTCAGCTCGGGCTTTCATTGCATGAGATTTCATGTGGGCATTCAAACTTTTCACCTGAAAAGAAAAAAGTCTTAAATTCCATCACGAAAACCAAAAAAAAAAAAAGGTCACAATACTCGAGTTTTATCAAAGTATAGTTTAACTCTAACCACTGGAATCACTTTAATGCGACGACTTAACTTTCGACGACTCTATCACTGGAATCTCCTTAATGCGAGGATAGCTCCAAAACAATCGCAAATTTTTTATACAAACATGAATTTACCTTCTCGAAGTATTTATCACAAAGGCGGCAATGGAAGAAACCATCAGCTGCCGGTTGAGCACCTTTTTTGACAGGTGTTCGATGCAACTGCAAAAAAGGCGACGAAAGGTTGGCAAGAAAAAGAATGTGACCAAATATTTTACTGTTTATACATCATGTGATCTCCAAGATTTTGCGATTATTGCGAACAGAAACTAAGCTTGCGCTTCACAACTGCTTATAAGAGATACAATGCAAAAATGAGATAGGTTGCACTTTTCTAAAACCGCCTATCAACAAAGCCTTGATACCGGAGTCGTCTTTTTTTCCTACAAAAACTTTGAAAATTATACTGTTCTTTAATTCAAAGATTCTGCTTGGTTACTGGAAATTTTAGAACTCAGATTTGACTGACTGGGCTAGACCTTATCCAGTCGGTCTGATGATTTTCTGACATAACTAACTTGTGCCTGATTGACTGTGCACTGAAACAGAGAGATTTAATGAACTTTGTACTGCCGTGTTACCTGGGGGAAAGATCGAGATGTATCATTATTTCCCATAACCATGGACGATGGGGCGGTGGAATGCGGCAGTTCTCCGAATCTTGCCACTGAGTAGTTTCGTGGTATTGCCGAACAACTTATATTCC